CTGCTCCCGAGCCGTCTGCTCTGGAAACGCAAGTGTGTGAATGTCGCTCACTTGCAGGTGTGTTCATACACGTTTACCCCCATAAGTGTATACGAATGGATATTCACACACCTGCAAGTGAGCGACATTCACACACTTGCGTTCCCAGTGTGAACACGCGCCTGAAGGATAGGCGATTTGCACTTCGAAGCCCGTCTATGTAGGCAACCCACGGCGCATCCCGCCCCACTGCCAGCGGCCCACTGCTCCACTGCTACTGACGTGTTGGTGATAGGTGACCGCCAAACCGTCTCAACGTTTTATTTTACAGAACGTGCTATTCTGCGCTCCGACTCGACGCATCCGCATCCCACGTTGATCACCGGCGACGATGACGTGAGTTTACTACGGGGCCGGGCGGGCGCTTCCTCGGGACCCCCCCCTCCCCCACCCCGGGACCACCATGCCATGCCGTGTTCCTCGACCAGCTGACTCTGTTTCCACAGGAGGAGGACGTCCCCTTCCAGAGCTGCATCACGCCGAACAAGGAGCCGGGCCACTGCCGCCATGTCCGCTTCTGCGTCCTTAACGAGTTCAAGGACAACTTCGACCGCTTCAAGGACTACGCCTGCGTCATCGAGGGCAAGTATGTAACAGGAACACCATTTGAACAGCATAGGCCAAGGTAGGTTGTGACTCGCACTACAAAGCGTTCGGCGTCGGAGGGTTTCACCAGGTGAGCGGTCCATCGCCTCGCGAGCCTCGTAAGATAGGATAGAGGTAATCCCCCTGCAAGCCAGCGTGAGTCTAGTATGACTGCAAAAAAGTGCACCGATGACTGAGAGGGGAGCAACCACGCCTTTTGCCCACTTGCAGGCGAGAATTGTAGTAAAACTTGACTTCCGAGCGAGGTAGATGATCTGACCCCTCTGATGATGTGTGGCAACGCTGACTTTGTTCCTCGGGCACGCCAGGTACATCGGTGTGTGCTGCCCTGACGACAAGGACCTCTACGACAAGAGTCGCGACTACTACGGGCCGCGCACCAACCGGACGACGGGGAGCAACAGGGCGAGGAACGGGCGGCGGCGGGGCTGGGCCAGCAGGAGGGGCGACGGCGACCGAGGCGACGACAGCAGACCCTACAGGAGGAGGAAGCCGCGCCCGCTCAACACGCGCGCGTTCGACACGCAGGAGGAGAGTGAGTACGGGGACGTCATCGGGGGCCTCGTGAGCACGGCGATGACACCCCCGATTCAGCTCAAATTCGGAGTACGGATGGTTTTGAGACACGCTGAGTTCGAATAACGGTAGCACGGAGGTCTTCCGGGCCAACCCATGACGTCATCGAGGACGCTCCGAGTACGCCGATGAGACGTGCTGTGTGTGTTGCAGCCTGTGGCGTGACGCGGGTGCTGAAGCGCACGGAGAACGCCAAGGTGGAGGGCGGCCAGGAGTCGGAGCCCGGCCAGTTCCCCTGGATGGCGGCGCTGCTGCGCTTCGGCGAGCAGCAGTTCTGCGGCGGCGTGCTGCTGGACTCGACGCACGTCCTCACCGCGGCCCACTGCGTCTACAAGTAGGCCAGCGCCGCGCAGCTCGCACACCGGGCGGGCCGAGGCCCTTTGCAGCTTCAGCAGGAGTCTCTCAACCACAACCCGCTTCTTCCTCAGCTTGGACCCCGCCGACCTGACGGTGGGCCTCGGGGAGTACGACCTGAGCCAGCCCGACCCGGACCGCGTGCAGACGTTCGACGTGCGCGACATCCTGGTCAACGAGCGCTTCAACTCGGACGCGTACACGGACGACATCGCCCTCCTGTACCTGGACGGCGAGGCCGAGTTCAGCGACTGGGTCTGGCCCATCTGCCTGCCGCCGCCCAACATGGACCTCACGGGGCAGCTCGCCACCGTCATCGGTGAGTGGCGTAGCGGTGCAAGCTAGAGACAGACTCTCTAGAGCTAGCTAGGCGCAGGGGCGAGGGAGCTTATAGCAAGTAGTGTACGAGCGTAGCCAACACCGTGAGCTCGGCTGAACAAGGAGCGAAACATTTTCCGGCAATAGCGATGACGCATTTCGGCGTGCCTGCTCCCCCCTCTTTTCCGTTCCCTCTCCTCCCACGCCCCACTCTTGCGGCAGTGGGTCCTACTAGGCGTTCAGGCTTTGATAAGATACGTATAACGAGCCCCCCACTCCTCCCTCCCCTCTCCTCCCCCGCCGGTTCCGCCACACCTTGCCGCAACGCTCTGTCGCGTGGCATCCTTGTTTTACTAACTGTTGGTCGACGAGAGAGAGAGAGAGAGAGAGAGAGAGAGAGAGAGAGAGACAGAGAGAGAGAGAGAGAGAGAGAGAGAGAGCACATCAAGTAGGGGTGGTGCCGCGCCCCGCTCCCCCACCACCGCAGCGGTGGCGGGTCCCATTAGTGAGCTTTGCGAGACTGAATCACCCGACGTGTGACTCATTAGGGGGTAGGCTCGGGCATTCCCTCACACCTTACGAGAGGGGGGAGGGGAGATGGGGAGGGGAGATGGGGAGGGCACCGGAGGGCACTCTACTTGTGTCGGCAAAGAATCGAAAAGAGTCGTGGAGATTTCACTAATTG